TCAACCAACAGCCCCTTTTAGGGTTTGTGGCTCCCGACCATTCCTGTTGTTCAGTTCAGGGTTTCAGCATCTCCTTTCAAGCTTTGGGGTTTGGTTTGTCATTAGCATCTTCTTTGCAGGCTTTTGGGCCAACCAGCTTCGTTTCAATTTCCTTTAGGGTTTTGGGGTTTGTCCGTAGTCAACCAACATCTCTTTTAGGGTTCGGGGTTTCCCAACCATTGCTTTTTGTCTAGGGTTCCAGCGTCTCCCTTTAGGGTTTGGGGTTTGTCAGTAGCAGCTTCTTAGCAGGCTTTGCGTCAACCAACAACCTCTTTTTGGGTCTGCGGTTTCCAAAGGGCAACCAACATGTTTTTGTTTTAGGTTCCTACGTTCACAGAGGGTGGTTTTGAGAAAGTGCTTGCTCGTCGCACCGCTTCTGCCCAACCACACACCATGCAACAACAGCTTCGCTTGCCGCTAATTTTTTTTACCCACCCGCCGTCACCTTGGACTACGCGCAAGCTTTCTTCGCCCTCAGCTGTGCGATCGCTGCCCGCTTCAACTAGCTCTTTTGCTGTTACGACTTTCCTACTTGTACGCTGTTGCTTCATAATGTATGCTTCGATACGCGCTTTTGCGAACTACTGCACAGCAGCCTGCTTCGAGGCCCGCTTTGACCAGAGGTCGCACGGGTCCATCAGCTTTGGAGCTGCAGTCGTCTATCCGGCAAGCCGAAACAAACTGAGCGAGAGCATTCTTTGTCGGCCTTCTTTACCTGCTGCTTTGTAATCTTTTTGTCGACTCGCTTTGCTTAGACGCAAGAAAGCCGTAGCCTTTTGTTGTTGCGTGGTGGAACGCTTTCCTGAAGCAGCTTCTTGGCAGGCTTTGGGGTCAACCAATATTTTTGTTTAGGGTTTGGGTTTTCCCAACCGTTTCCTTTTTGGGTTTCAGCATCTTCTTTTAGGCTTCGGGGTTTGTCAATAGCAGCTTCTTTGCAGGCTTTGGGGTCAACCAACCTTTTTTTTAGGGTTTGGGGTTTCGCAACCCTGTTGTTCAGGGTTTCTGCATCTCATTTAAAGGTTTGGGGTTCGTCAGTAGCAGCTTCTTTGCAGGTTTTGGTTTTGGGTTTCCCAACCATTGCTTTCGTTTAGGGTTTCAGCATCTCCCATCTCCCTTTCAGGCAGCAGTTTCTGTGCAGGCTTTGGGTCAACCAACATCTCTTTCTAGGGTTTGGGTTTTCCCAACCATTTCCGTTTTTGGGGTTTCAGCGTCTCCTTTTAAGGTTTGGGCTTTGTTAATATCAACTGTTTTGCATGCTATGGGTCAACCGAACCAACATCTGTTTCTGGGGTTTGGATTTTCCCAGCCATTTCTTCTTTTAGGGTTTCAGCGTCTCCGTTTAGGCTTTGGGGTTTGTCAATACCAGCTTCTTTGCAGGCTTTGGGGTCAACCAACAATTTTTTTAGGGTTTGGGGTTTCGCAACCGCTCCTGTTGTTCAGGGTTTCTGCATCTCGTTTAAAGGTTTGGGGTTCGTCAGTAGCAGCTTCTTTGCAGGCTTGGGGTCAACCAACATGTCATTTTAACCATTCCTTTGTTTTAGGGTGTCAGCATCCCCTTTTAGGGTTTGGGGTTTGTGAATAGCAGCTTCTTTGCAGGCATTGGGTCAAGCAACGTTTCTGTTTAGGGTTTGGGTTGTCTCAACCATTCCTTTTGTTTAGGGTTCCAGCATCTCCTTTTAAGGTTCGTTTGTCAAGAGCACCGCGCCCCACGGCGCGGCCTCTGGCCGCGGCCCCCGGCGGCGGCCCGCGGCCCGCGTGCCGCGGCCACGCTCGCGGCACCGCCAAAAAACTTTTACCCCTATTTTACCGTATAACAGTATGTATGTTCATCCACAACGTGGTGAACTTTGCAAGGTAAGACTGAACGGAATATGCTGTGCGAGACGAAATGACTGTTGGCTTTCCTTCGAGCTTTTTGTGCGGCAGACTGGCGTTAATTTGAACCTGGTGTCTTCGTGACATTTGCGGTGAATATCTGTTTTGATGCAGTGAGAGCGTGAAATCTGTTTTGCATCAGCAGAGTTCTTCACGCGATGTTCATGTATGCAACAAAGATTGCCAATCGCCAGCACCCAAGTGCCCGCTGGGAACTTTCGGGGCGTGGAGGGGCGTGCGGGCAGCAGTTTGAACCGGGTTCTCCTGAAAATTTGGGAGAGGCGGGAGAGGGTTCAGTTTTTTTCGGCACGCAATATGTATGGAAACGCAGGCTGAGCCTGTGTATGTATGTTCTCGGAATTCCCCAACTTGACATGGTCTCGACATGTTCGGATGTCCCGATTGTCCGGAATTTTCGTAGGAACTGGGCTCCAGTACACGTGCAGCATAAAAACTGTATCATGCAACTTGGTGATGCGTTTCGACAGAGGCGCAATTGGTTACCCATACGTCAGCACAGGCACGACAAACAGTTGATAAACAAGCAGAGCGAAACCAACCTCGTAAAAAGTTCGAAGCAATGACCATGAGATCCAATAACAGACGAGGCCCTGCCGTTTGTTGCGACTTCCAGACTTGCCCATGTATTTGCACGAGCGGCGTCAATATCACAGGTTTTCCTGCATGGCCTCGTCGACAGGCCACGTCCAAGCAGCGCCACGAGGTGTGAAAATCATGTCTTTGCCAGGTCAGAACTCTCTTGTTCCTGGCCAGCACAGCCCTTGTTAGCACTGTAGTTACCACTGTCTTCGTTCCTGTACGGGCCCAAGTTGGGACGACTCCAACAGACTGCGGCATCTCAGCGCAGCCCCTGATGCCAGGCTGGCTCGAAGACCGGTGTTTTGTCCAGTCGAAAGACCATTCGGGCAGCAGAAGGAAAGCAGTCTTGACCTAAGGCGAGGCGCCAGAAGGGAGAGGTCGGTCGGGTAATGACGACGTTACCTGAGGTCGGAAGAATACGACCAGTACGATTGGCAACGTGTCTCAGGACACGTCAGCGCAAAGGTGAGCATCCATGTCTTGATAGTCCACGGAGGATCTTCCAGGAACGTCCAAGAGGCAGCCGATCAGCTCCTCAACTGAGCTTGTCACGTAGCATAGCGCATGCTGAAAGAGGTCTTGCCGGACTTGGCCGACTTGCCGGATTTGCCGGACTTCGGCACCGAGGAAGAGGAGCCGATTCTTCAACACTCCTTCGTTCCTTCGTTCTGAGATGGTGTCAGGAAGTGAGCGGTGAAGGAGAGGTCAAAGCAAAAGTCCAGGCCCTTGTGAACGGGGCGTTGCAGCGCAAGCCGACGGCGGCTTTTCTGGGTCTGCTGCTCCCAACAAGTTTGGGGCAGCTCACTATGGTTGCACTTTACAACCCGGCCCAAAACTGCCAGAGCTTTCGTGTCGCTTGCTCGTAACGTCCTGGCAGAAGTGTATAGCATGCATCGCAAGAAGGCCCAAGTTAATAAACATGCCTCAGAAGCAAGATCCGAACAGCAAAACGAACTAGCTGACGGACACGACGCGGAACAGCTCACCGGCGAGCATCAGCGGCTCACGGCTCAGCGCTCTAGTGGATCTAGTGGATCGCGGCTGTGTTAGAGGTGCGGGAGGTGAACCTGCCGGACCTGCCGGGCCTCGCCCGGCCCCAAACGCGCCCAAGCGCGCATCAGGAAATGCAGCTGCCAGCATCCGCAAGCCCTGCCTCTCAGGACGAAGACCTTTTGCCCCCGGGGCTCGGAGCTCGGAGACGTCGCCCGCTGAACCCAAAACATAACAAGACGAGAGCAGAGGCCGAACCCGTGGTCCGACGGCGGCCTGGGCCCGGAGCCGAGCCGGAGTTTTTGAGCACCGAGGGCCGGGCCCGGGCCGGGCCCGGCCGGGCCCTCGCTAGCGAGGCTTCCTGGAATGGACGGGCATCTGGGCTGGACTGCTGACCGTGGTGCTGGCCGTGGGTGCCGGTGGCTCCTGGATCATCGCCAGGCGCGGGCGCTTCACGTGGGCATGCGGGGAGGGCCCTGGCTCGCAGGCTGCAGCTCGAGCCCGAGGTCGCTGGCCAGCTGTCGGCACCCGAGAGGTTTTTTTCTGGAGGCTCTAACGTTGCCCGTTCAAGTTCGCTCAGCTTGGACTTCTTGAAGCCTCTGCTCAACGTGTACCAGCTGCTTTTCCTGGCCAGGGCCAGGGCCCCCAGGGCCCCGAAAACTCACCTCTCACAGACAGCACCCTCACAGCCCAGGTCTTGCTAGCACAGTTCCCGAAGGCAAATCCCATGCCACGACCACAAGATGTGATTGTGCGCTGCCTGCCAGCTCAAGACGACGGATTGGCCCTATGCAATCTGCCACTATCCGACCGAGTTCGTCCTGGGTCCCACGCGCGGCACTCAGAAGGAGACTCAGAAGAAGCTGCGCGGACTGGTTGGCAGCATCGTTCCAAGGCGCATGATTCTAAAGCCTGAAGCTGGTGTAGATGTGCCGTGGCAGCTATTCAAACGCGCCGTTTTTTGCCTTGACGTCAGTTCACCCAGTGCCAGGTGTCGCCTTTCGTTTGGCTTCTTTTCACCTCCCTGGTGGCGGAGTTGCTCACTGGATCCTTTGGCATCTTGCAAATGGTCAAGCACGCGGCCGAGAGCGCACCAGTGACCTGACCGTGTACCGAGAACGCGGTTCTCCTCAGGGACTCATCTCGATCACGCCTTGGCGACACAGTGATGAGCATTCGGCAGGAAGCTTGAAGATGCTGTTGAAGTGTGCTCTCTCGCGTTTGTGTCAGCTCAGGTAGACGCCCAAATTTTCCGCTGCCAACAAGCGCGACAAAGTCTGTGAGCTGCGTGGAGTTCTCTTCTTTGCAGTTCCACTGCTTTGTACTCTCAGACCTTCAGTGTATGACAGCCGGGAACATGTAGGAGACAGCCCTCGGACTGCCAGCTTGCGAGATAGGACAGAAGCTTCCCACCTCTTTTTAAGCAGAATTAAGCAGAGTCCAAGGTCTCAAGAGCAAGGCATCCCAAGTGTGAACTGAGCATCGTCCACAGCGCCATGGCGATGACCTCGCGGCGCGCAGGCACTAGAGTCACTAGAGTTCTGGCCCTGGCTTTTCTTGCGATCGTTCCGATCGGTGGCCTGCTGAGCGCTGGCTTTGTCGGACTCAGCCGGCCTTCCAGGCCCTCACGCTTAGCTCCAAGAGCCCTGGACTATGCGCAGAGCCTGACCGGTGCGACAGGGTCTCGTGAACTCATGCAAGAGTTCAAGAGGAGCTATCGGGAGAACCCCTTCCCCGAGAAGCTGGGGCTCTTCTTCCCGGATCATGACCGGATCCTTTCCGTGCTCTACCAAAGCGGCAGACAAAACTACACAAGCAGCGGCTTCTTGCGCACCGTGGATCGGGTCTTCCGGCAGCTCTACGACTTTGGTCCTTCGGCTTGGCCTGCTTTGACACAGCTTCTGGACAAGAAGCATCCTTGGACAAGTGCCTACTGCCAAGGAATCATTGCGGAAGGAGTCGAAGCCTGGAGCCCCTTTGACTTCTTTCGCGTGAACTTGGACAGCCTGGCGCCTCTGCAGCGCTACGCTTTCCCGGAGCTCGAGTTGCAGTCCAAGACCGGCTTCCGCGTCTTGGAGAAATGGCTCCAACGGTTGGGCGAGGCAAAGGATCCCGAACTGCAAACCCTGCTCGAACGACTCAAGGTCCAGGCCAGCTGCAAACTTGAGCTGGGAGGTTTACGGTAAAAAAACCTTGTTGCGGTGTTTTTCCTCTTTCAGGACCTCCGGAACCACCAGGAGCAGGCGCGGCCCGCGGCGCGTGCCTCCTCCCGTGGCCACCTAAAACCCGGTCTATGTGCCAGCTGAAACTGCGTATTCTCTAATCGTCCGGAGGTAATCCTAGGCAGGTGCCGCCCTTCCCGGACCCCCTCACCAGGATTTAAATTATCCTAAGAACAGATCTCGATGCGGAACACCACCGCTGCTGTTGAGGGCAGCACGTAAGGCAAAGCAAGAAACACAGAGAGAGACAGAGAGAGAGAGAGAGAGAGTGTGCGGATTTCCCACCTCCAAACGCCTAGCAAGCAAGCAAGCAAGTGCGCGGATTTAAACTATTCATTCAAAGTATTTAATTCGTGACAACACACAGTTTCAGCTGGCAAATAGACCGGGTTTTAGTTGCACCTTCCTCCCCCCGCGCTTTCCCTTTCCCCCAGGAGGCAGAGAGGAGAGGGCAGTGTTCTGGGAGGCGATGCGGCTGCGGCCTCTGGAGGACCTCTTGGAGCACGAGCTGGCGAAGGTGGCCAGAAGCATTTTCGAGGCCTGCGAGGTCGTTCCGGAGGCGAAAGCAGCGCTTTTGACAGCCAGAGACCGCCGGAAGCGCACCGTGCTCCACCTCGCTGCGACGCAAGGGAACACGCGGTTGGCACGGCTTTTCTTAGAGGCAGTGGGGGAAGCGGATAGACGGTTCTTTGCCGCCGCACTGGATACAGGAGGACAGATCATCACACAGCACCACTGAGAGTGCGGCATGTAGGGCAAAATGTAGGCGAAGCTCAGATGCGTTCAGGATATACCGCTGAGGATCTGGCTCGGCTTGCTGGCTTTGCGGAGACGGGGGAGACAATTCAGTCCCTGGGCCACTTGTCTCAAAGTCTGCGGGTGAGGGCGTTTGAACCCGCAAGCGAGTCGAGGCGGGCCGACCAGCAGCGAAGCGCCCCGGGGAAGTGCCAGCAGCCTCTTTCCGCATGCTGAAGGCCGCTTGGAGCGGTTCTGTCTCATCTCGGCCTTGGGCTGTGCTTTTTGCCGCGAGGCGAGAAGGGCGGCCGTTCCTCCCCGGCCTCCGATGACGGCGGCTGGAGTTCGAGCCTAACAGGAGAAGCTAGAATCCACCTTTAACGAGACTTTGGCTCTAGACGCCCTGCAGGAGTTCCTGAAGAATGGTTGACTGAGGAGCCCGTCTGTGAGATCGATTCCATTTCCGTGGGGCAGTTTGATTGGGAGATTTTCGAGAAGCATTATTATTCCGCTCGGAGGCCTTTGCTGATCCGTGGTGGTGTAAGGATGAGTGCATCCGACAGGGCCAAGTTCACTCGCCAGGGCTTGCTCGGAATTGCTGGTAGTCGCAGGGTGACAGCGTATGCGACGCCATACGAGAACGATTTCAGGGAGGTGGCTCCTGTGGAGATGCCTTTGGAAGAGTATGCGACTTTCTTGGATCAAAGGGTCCAAGACCCGGGAAGCAACTTGAGCTACGTCTTCGAGCGTCTGCCAGAGGACGAGGGGCCTTTGGGCGTCGCCCGCGAGGTCCCAAAGCTCTTGCGAAGCCGCGTGGACCTGCGCTCGGCGCAGTTCACCCTCGGGGGCGCGCTGATGGGCTCCCCGCTGCACCACCACGTGGATGCCGCAACGAGGCGGCAAGTGGCGGCAACAGCCGGCAGCATGTCCTCTGCACAGGGCTGCCCTTGTCTCTTGTCGCTGCCCAGGCGAATTCTTTGCTCTTCGGGAAGAAGCTTTGGTTCCTGAAGCCTCCTGCACAGCAGGAGTTCCGCAAGACCACCGTCTACGAGGAGCGGATCTGCTCGCGTGAGCAGCGCAGAGCTCAGCAGCCACTGCTTGCAGGATTTGCTGGCCAGTGGCGGGCCATCGGGCTTGAAAGTCTTGCAGCAAAGTGGAGACTTGCTCTACGTGCCGCAGGACTGGGCGCATGGGGCCCTCTGTACCTTGGCAGGAAAGGGACACCCCCCGACCTCTCTCCGACCCCTCTCCGGCCTCTCTGCGGCCTCTTCGGGGCTTGTAAGGCTTGAACCAGTGCATCGGCCTGGCTCACGAGTTTGACGTGAGAGCTGAGAGCATCCCTGTGCCGGTAGAGACGGTGAATGCTGGACTTGGAGTAGCTCTGGCAGGAGTCCTGGCATTTTCCATTTTTATTATCACCTGGATCATCGAGCGTATCTGATCCTGGCGATTCTCAGAAAGAAAGCGTGCATCATCGTGCATCCCTCTCCCTCTGACCCTTCCTGTTGCACACAAGATCATGCCAGGTTTTTCTTTGCTGCCGCTTCGGCTCCGTCAGGGTTTAGCTCGAGACCGAACATGTCCATATATGTTTTTCTTGCCGCTACAAGGCTCGTCGTGGCTCTTTCGCTGACGGGTCACCAGCTGCGAGGGGACCAAACGGGGAAGATCCTGACCGTCGTGGATGCGCACGGTGCCCCTGGATCTGCCTCAGATCTAAAGACTCAAAAAGCCGCAGCTCGAGGAGACGGCGGGGATGCCCCAACAGAGCAAGATCTGAAGAATTTTTCTGGTGACTGGCTTTTCCATGTCCGCACCACGTCCTGTCATGGCGATGTTTTCGACAACGGAACCTACACAGCCACTTCCCGTGCCTTCTTGCCGTTGTTGTGTGCTGTTTGTGTCATCTTGGTTGCCTCCACGTGGCAAAGTGTGGGCAAGCCGCGTGCAGAAGAGCGAGGCGAAGGTGGTGAAGCAAGCACAGTGGCCGCTTCGTCGCGGCTTTGGCACGTCGACTTTGCCAGAATTTGTGCGGTGATGTGCGTCATCTTTGAGCACAGTGGCAAGAGCCTCAGTCGATGGTCATGGCTACAGTTTTCTTGCGCTGACCCTTCTTCAGTCTTCGAAGTCTTCGTCATAAGAAGGAAACAAGACTTGTGTCTGGTGTCCAACTCACGACAATGACAACTGCTATACTACTACTTCTACTGCCACTGGGCTACTACGACTACTCGGACTACTGCGACTACCAACGCCTACTGGGACTGCCAGGACTAGAACGGCTACTACGACCTACGGCTACTACGGCTGCTACACCTACCGCGACTACTACGACCACTACGACGACGACTGCGACGACGACGAAGACGACGACTACTACGACACTTACTACTACACTTACTCTCAAAGATATAAGCCTATTCTGTATGCAGACATGCAGATACCGGCATGTGAATGCAGTGTATGATGAGGTTGCTGATGCAGCCCCTTTCCAGACTGAGCTTAGTGGTGCCCGGAAGTCAAAAAGGGTTTTGCTGGTGGTTGGTTGGGTATCTAAGGTTGTGTCCCTTTGCCCGCGCCTGCTTGTGCATGGTAGCGGAGCAGCTGCCGGTCCAGGGCAGTTGCTGCGGGCGGTCCCGCTCCGGCGCACTCCCTTCCTGGGTGTGAAGGGGAAAGGTCGCAAGAGCGACAAACGGAATAGCCCGTGGTGGCAAGGGACAGAAGGGCCCTGTTGGCAAGCCGAGCCTACAGATAAAGGCAAAGGCAAAGAAGAGGCCCAACAAGGTCAAGAGACGGGGCCAGCTGGAGAGGAGCAAACTGGGCTACGAGGACGCGGCTGAGGAGGACTGCGGCAGCAAAGAAAGCCCCAGCCCCGAGGAAGTGAAAGGGGGGGATGCATATCAAACAAAGAACAACTTTTTTCAGATCAAAAAACCATTTTGCCGATCAAAAAAAACTTTTCTTCGATCAAAAAAACTTTCCCTTTGCCATAGCAGAGAAGCAGGCAGTGCTGAAGAAAAGAAGGCAGGAAGGAAGTCAGGCAGGAAGGAAGGAAGGAAGGAAGGAGGGAAGGAAGGAAGGAAGGAAGGAAGGAGGAAGGAAAGGAAGGAGGAAGGGAAGGAAGGAAGGAAGCAAGGAAGGAAGGAAGGAGGGAAGGAAGGAGGGAAGGAGGGAAGGAAAGGCAGCAAGGAAGGAAGGAAGGAAGGAAGGAAGGAAGGAAGGAAGGAAGGAAGGAAGGAAGGAAGGCAGGCAGGCAGGCAGGCAGGCAGGCAGGCAGGCAGGCAGGCAGGAAGAAAAGAAGGGAGGCAGGAAGCAAGGAAGGACATTGGGCAGCAAGGAAGGCAGCAACGCAGGAAGAAAGGACGCAAGGAAGGAAGACATGAAGGAAGGCAGACAGGAAAAATGGAACGCAGACTGGGTAGTACTAGTCCAACACTACAGGCAGTAAAAGTACTATGAGTACTATTATTACTATTATGGATCTTTTTCTACAACAACAAAAACAAACCGCCACCACCACCACCACCACCACCACAACCACCACTACTACTACTACTACTACTAAGCGTCTGGGCCCAAGCCAATTGAAGTGCCCGGGGTTTTTGGGTGTTGTGGGGTCTCCTGGGTTTGCTCCTCCTCTTCCCGCCCCCTTCTGGGAGTTGAGGGTTGTGACTGCGCTGCGCTAGCCATACTCTCGGTGCCTCTGACTTTCGCGTGGGTGGCCGCTGCGCCTGGATGCGAACATGGTTCTGTCGAATACTGACCCTGCTCGTGGCGATGATGGGCGCAGTACTGCTGCACAGAGATGGTTGGATGGGGCTACATCAGGCAAGGCAGCGGCATCCACCGCAGTTGGCATGCGACTCAACTGCAGTATCAAGTTGCGGGGGCTTCGCTTTCCGGTCTCAACCTTTACCCGTCCAGTGGGACCGCCCGCTTGCACGGTATCGCAAGCTGATGCGCGGAGACATGCTCGCGCCCTGGTTTCCTCGGGATCCTCGACGTCAAGTGCAGCAACCGACCCGAAAGAGGCCAAGCTGGATCTCAATACGATGGACTAAGGACCCTGATGTTCCCTGGCTGCACTTGTGCATTGGGACTGCAGGAGAATACATGTCAGTACAGCCTTGTTGCCGTGTGACCCTCTGGCGGGCAATGCATTTCCAATCTTGCCGATGCTGGTTATTAGTTAGGCGGTCGCGCTTCCAGCTGCACCCGGCGCGGTGCTGGAGGTTGTCCTCCGCCCGCAGCAGTGACCCACCCCAGCGCCGGTACGGTATAGATGCTGATGCCAGCTGTTTAGTCACCTCCGTGCCGTTCATGCATCTTGATTGGTCACAGGTCCCAATGCAGCCCCCGGGTAGATACCTCTCACTCGTCTCCCAACCCGCTGTAGACTGGTGCCGCGTCCTTTATCCGCAGGTACTTGGCCCGTTCCGCCGCGTGCTGCGCCGCCTCCCTCACTGGCGGAGTACAGGAGCTCCACCTTGCTCGGGTACTGCTTGCACGCTCCCTACATGGGTAATCCCCAGCCTCAGAGCCGACAGCTGCATCCGTGCATGGTTTGGTGCCCTCTCAAGTTCCAGGTATGGGCTAGTTCAGGGACTGTTCACCGTCACTCAACAGAGCATCTTTCACAACTCCGGTGAAGCTGAGATTGAACCCGAACCCTTCGGGATGCTGGCAGCCCACATGCCACCTCTAGGCCATCTTCGGGGTTCTGAGAGTGCCTTCAGCTGTGCGCCTACGCCTGCGCGCCTCACGGGGTCCATGGCTCGCCAGCGCGGTGATCGACCACGAGGTTCCAGGGCAGGTCGAAGTGGTCGGCGTCGCAGGCCCAGAGACTCCGCCAGGGAGTCTGCCAGGCCGCCCAAGCGTGCGCGTCAGGAGGCAAGCAGGCATGCTAGCACAGAGGCTGTGGAGGTATCGAGCTCGGAGGACAGCTCCCTTGATCCCGTGGACGAGGGCGCCGCTGGCTCATGCAGGCCGATCACTGCCTATAGTGCGTCCTCATCGATGGCTCCCACTTCCAGGGTTGCAGAAGCACTTGAGTACGCCGCGGTCAGGGATTACCTGCAGGAGGAGCCGACGGAGACTCACCTGCGCAGTGAACTCCCTCCGGACAAGTTTGTGGCGCTTGCCCGGCTGATGGGTCGTTCCCTAGGTGCTGCTCCTGGCATCAGCCTCAGGTTCCGGTTCTGGCTCTGCTCCGGTGAGGCCAGTTCTACATCCGAAGCCGAAGCCCATGCCGGTGCTTAGGACGCCTATCACAGCAGCTTCCCAGCCGGTAGGCGCTGGTAGGTTGGGCGATGCCTCATCGGCTGTCGTGGGATTGGCTTCTTTACCAGGTACGGTGGGGGCTTTTCTCTCAGCGTCTGCACTGGTTCCTCGCAGGGACGTCTCGGACCTCGAGCACAGCACTGGAATCACGAGACGCGAGAAAGGATCCTCTCTGCACGACTCTGCTTCCGTGGTGCCGGCGACGACGGGGGCTCCTCTACTACGAGACTACTTGCGGCCCACGCCCAAGGTTCGCGGACGCCTGGGAAGCGCACCTCGGGCTTCACCTCAGGAGTCATCTCATGCAGAACCTTCCTTGGAACAGGCCGGGCCGGCCGAGTCAACCGAACCAGCTGGGCACGCGGAGGAGGCGGCGGATGCAGTGGGCGTGGACAACCTCTTGCCCTGCAGAGAGGAGATGATCGCGGTGCTCCCCCGCTCGGACCGATCAGACTCCCCCGACCTCCTGTTCACGAAGAAGTTTGATTCGCTCTTCATGCTGGCCCAGGCTCATCTCACTCGCCACACCGAGGGTGAGATCAGTTGGGAGTCCGGAGGGACGGTGACTCCACCAGAGGCTTTCCTTTTCACACCAGCCGAAGCCGAATTCTGGCGGAGTCGTGAGGTATATATGATGGCGAGCCGGGGATTCAGGGTTTCCGGGTTCCTTCGTTCACCTCTGCGGTCTTTGGGCTCCCCCCTTTGGTTTTCCCGGGGATTTCCACTCCTCCCCCTGCCCTTCGGTACCGCATCGACAGGAGTCTTCTGCCGTGCCGAGCGGCGCTAAGCCTGCACCATTGCACTGCCTGCACGGTGTCAACCTTGCATAGCACGCTCTCGGACTGGATGCTGTCGTTGCCTCTACACCTGCTGGGCTGCAGTCGTGCTGGATTGACCGCACCCCTTCCCACAAGGCGTCTTTGGCAAGCTTTGAATCCGTTCTTGATTGCTACCCCGTGCTCCGGTGGCCTAGCGCCTGCCAGGGGCGCCCCATTGCGCCGCGCCGCATCCAGCGAGCTCTGCAGGCTAATGGCCCTCCTTTGGAAACGTAGGTGTGAGTTTGTGCCCACCTTGTTGCGATGTAGGCGCTTCCAGACTCACCCCTGGACACATGCACGGCATCACAGGTCCAGGCGACCCAAAGGTGCCACGCAGGGCCGGAAGGCCCTGGGAGGCTGGATCACACCGTACCAGCATGGAGTCACGACTCATTCGTTAGGTCGGCTGATTACCTGCACGCCCGTCCTTTGGGAAATTCGTCCCTAGGTACATTTTTTCCTGGGCACAGGAAAATGAAACGCTCTTTTTTGTCCTTTCGGAGGCCTGCATGTTGGGGGGCTTGAGCCGGGGATGATAGATGGCAAACACTTGAGCCAAAGAAACAAAAAAGTGAAAAAACTAGAGATTCTGGCTGATTTCAAGCAAAAAAAGACGTATATGTGTGAATTATGTACCATGTGTGTGTGTATGTTGTGTGAGTTCTGTAGCATTTACATCTACTCCATAAACCCGAAAAAACCCTTATATCCACCCTTACTCACTTAAAACTTCCTTCCACTTAATAATTTCAGGATCGCGACCAACGTGTCATGTCAATGGTTGCATCAACGCAAAGTAGTAGCTACGATTACTTGTGCGGCCGACGCAGTTGCTCGTGAAACTTCACGGGAGATTTAGCATCCTTTAAACCCTGGTACGCCGACAACCCTGAACCACTAACCCCTAAACCCTAAACCCCAAACGCCCTAAACCCGAAACCGCAAAACCTGAAACCCGCAATACCCTAAACCCGAAAACCCCAAAACTTGAAAACACCAAACACCCTAAACCCGAAACCGCAAAACCTGAAACACCAAACACCCTAAACCCAAAACCGCAAAACCTGAAACCCAAAACACCCTAAACCCCAAACCGCAAAACCTGAAACCCAAAACACACTAAACCCGAAAACCCCAAAACTTGAAAACACCAAACACCCTAAACCCGAAACCGCTAAACCTGAAACACCAAACACCCTAAACCC